TGAAAAAACATAAACCTTACCATTTTTCGATAAAATATAGAAAGATCCTTCAAAACACCATCGCTTAAAACATCAAGAGACCTAAAATAGAGGATACAAAATTCTATTCTCAAGTGACTTAACACCTGTCAAGATTTTCAAATATGTAGACATTTCATATTACCAAGTAAGTAATAAAGTTATTTTTTAAGCATTATATATACTAGCTGCTACAAATTATTTTTGGAAATAGGTGTATGTAGTTATTGTATTTTTCATATTTCAAATAAACAGCAAACATATTAGACAAATATTTTGAATAAAACTCAAGGAACTCTTATGAATATGTACGCAAAGAATTTTTTCCATCATAATGAAATAGCAAGTGTTTATTTCCCATATAATCTTTAACTATAGAAGGAATACTACATTAACAGAAAACAGCCTAAGTATCAGGATATCTGAATTCTATCTAGAATTATCACTGTTACCAATTACCAGCATGACCTTGAACAACTCACTTTATTTCTCTGGGCCTTAAAATCTACATGTGTAAAATTAGGTTTGACTAGATTAGCTGTATTCAAGATAGATTTCAAGGATCTTTCAGGTTCCAAAGAGGTACTTTAAGGCATCAGTGAAAATTTAAATCAAAGTTTATATTCTAAAATATATTTTAAGCTATTTCTATAACTAATACAAAACAACTTGCACATTTAAATCTGTACCATACCAGTTTTCAACACTTTGGGGATAAGTGATGCATTAACTTGCGATGCTAAGTCAATTTTGGTGCTGTCCTCCTTCTCCTAACATCTCTGTGCTTACTTATTTTACTTCTAGCAAACACAGAACTGATTAAGATGGTTAAGTTTGCAGAAATCTTCGTTTTAATGCAAGTTGTGCACGTCTACTCATCTAAAATTATACAGGTAGAGACACTGTCACAGCAGGTACTATCTTTAATTAAATGGCTCAGCTGACATACTTGTCACAACATAACAGTTGAACAATAGTAGTGTTACACGTCATTTTCCAATAT